TGGGACTGTGTGCAGTTCGAGGACTCGAGCGAGAAGCTCTACACCTACACCGTCATCACCACCGACTCGAACAAGCAGCTCAGCTTTCTGCATGACCGCATGCCCGTCATCTTCGACAACGGCTCAGATGCCATCCGAACCTGGCTTGACCCGACGCGCACAGAGTGGAGCACAGAACTGCAGTCGCTGTTGAAACCATACGAGGGCGAGTTGGAGTGCTACCCGGTCAGCAAAGACGTAGGCAAAGTTGGCAACAACTCGCCGTCCTTTCTCGTGCCAATCAACAGCGCAGCCAACAAGAACAACATTGCCAACTTCTTCGGCAACCAACGAAAGGCTGCTGAGACGAAGGCGGAGGAGCAATCTGTCGACAAAGCACAACATGATCTGGAAGCCTCGACAGACGAGAAGGGTCAGATCAAGGTCGAGCACGATGTTGATGAGACGCGTGACACAACCGACCGCGTCGAAGGTACCGAAGATAACGCGCCATTGCCTGTCCCAGCGACGTCGCCAAAAGGCATCAAGCGAGAGCACGACGACGTGACTGATGGCACCGCAGAGTCTGAGCCACAGCACAAGCGCAACAAACCCACCGCGTCTGTCTCGCCTGCCAAAAGCCCTGCGAAGAAGTCAACACCCGCGAAGAAGCAAGGTACCAGAAGCGCCACCAGCAACGGCAGTGCAGCAAAGACATCCAAAGCCGATGGTTCGCGGAAGATCACATCCTTTTTCAGCAACAAGTGAGAGTAAGAGTCTGCTTCCAGTATCGAGCATAGGCGGTTTGGCGGTGAAGAATGAGGTCCGTTTAGGCTTCCTGCCTTGTGCGCTATACCGTCCGACCTATAGTCCGGGGGCAAGCCGCAGCGCAGACACACGTGTGCGCGGAGATGCGGTCGGCGAGATGTACATGGTGGAGGATATGAGAGGGAAGCCCTTGCGGAGTGAGCATGTCCGCGGTCGCAGATGGGCGCAAACATAGAAGTACCGTCCTTGCCCCGCGCTAATGGTGGCGGGGATGGGCGCGAGGGGCCATTTAGCGGCCGTCGAGAACCTCCAAAACACTACCAATCCTGCCTGTTGGAGCTCTCGACGCTCTGCGCAACCCATCCGGGACGCGTTCCTCCAATGCTTATCCCTGCATGGCCCGAAGATGCGGCGACTTGACTCAATCTACTGAACGCCCTCTTGGCCTTACCCTGCTTGCACCATGTGATCAAATATCAGCTGTCGTCCAAAAAGTAGAACACCAACACCCTAACCATTGCCTTCCGCTCGCTTTCGTATTGAGGAAGCCCTTGTCTAGCAATCTCCCGCTCACTAGCATTGATGCCAAGACTTGTCGCTTCCGCGTTCAACCCTAGCCGTTCGCGTTCCTGACACGATGAACTCCAACATGGCGTCTTTGATGGACCTTGTGTCCCAAAACCAACCCAAATTCCAAACACACCAAGCCCTTGTTCTCGTTGGACTCCAGAACGACTTTGTGACATCAGAAGGACGACTTCCCGTTGACACCCAGACGGGCTTTCTGGAGCGCATCCAGACTTTGATTCCGAAATTCAGGGAGCTCAGCGGCAATGTCATTTGGGTCCAGACGCTGTACGAAGCCGATCGCATCGCGACTGGCACCGACACGGGTGCGGGAGACACGCTTGTCGTAGAAGGGCTGCTCGACGGCGAGGAAAACAATAATGAAGCTGAGGAAGAGTTAGCCAAGGAAGCAGCGTCGCTGCCAGCGCCCTCCAGATCCTCAAAACACAAGGAACGCGCGCTAGCCCTGCTGAAACGCGTGTCAGCACGACGAAAGACGCTGCCAAAGGAAGTCGCAAAAGCCAAAGCTGAAGAAGACGAGGAGCTCTTCCTGTTGAAGAGCGAGAAGAGAACGCCAGCATGCGTGCCCGATACGCGTGGCGCCGAGTTTGCAGATGCCATCGCGAAGCAGATCGAGCTACCTGCAGACGTTGTGATACAAACGACCAATTACTCCGCCTTCCAGGGCACCGACATGCTCATAACACTGCGCGCAAGACTCATTACCGAACTCTTCATCTGCGGATGCATCACCAATGTTTCTGTGCTTGCTACTGTCATCGATGCAGCGCGGCATGGTGTTAAGATTCATGTTATAGAAGACTGCTTGGGCTTCCGCAAGGAAAGTCGACACGAATTGGCGCTGAAGCGCATGGAAGATTTCTTCAGCACGTATTTGGTCAACAGTGAAGAGATACTCAAGGAGGATACGACGATAATTGCGACAAAGACAACAGCGCCTGCGGATGGCGCGAAGAGCGAGCAGACTATGGAGGAGCGTATGGCTAAATTGTCTCTCGCAAGGGACATCATAGAGAAGAGGGCTGCACAGGGTGCTGCAGGTGCCGCGGAAGATAAGGCAGAAGGGGACAAGCCGGAACTTGTCAAGTCCAAGGTTCGAATGAGGAAGAATAGGAAGAGCAAGAAGAAAGCGAAGGACAGAGAAGCATCAAAGGAAGATGGTGAAGAGGCGAATGGCGAGCCGAGCACGACGGCGAACCAGGTTACGAAAGATCCATCTCCGCCAATCACTACGGCACCGACAGTCATACCACAGTATGCATCGGCTGAGCCTCAACGAATGTCCAAGATTGCAAAAGCTGGGAGTGTTGCAGATTTGCGGCAGAAGGATAGCAAGCAGCATATGCTGAAGAATGCTAGCTCGGTACCTGCACTGTCCGCGAAGGCTGGTGATGAGAAGGAGAAAAACAGGTTGACTGAACTCTCGGATCGCGTGCGCATGTCACTCACTAGGGCACCAAAGTCTGAGTCGGGGTCTGAGTCAAAGAGAGGGTCCATCAGTTCTGCAAAGCCTACACCAACCACCCCGAAGCAAGACGACAGGGAAATCAAGCTACCGACTGTAGAAGCTGCACGGCCAGAACAACCTCCTGTGAGCGTGACAGAATCTGATTCGCCTCCAACAACCTCGACACCCGCAAAAGCCGCCACGATGGGCAAGCCGCCCAAGTTGCAGTCACTCGCAACATTCCCCGTCCTAGGGCCTGGCGATCACATTGCAGAAGGCGACTCACGCATTATCCACGATTTCTTCCCCGCCGACTACTTCCACCCGTCCGAACCAGCAAAACCACTCAAAGACACCATCTTCACCCAACTCTACAACGAAGTCCGATGGCAAAAGATGCTCCACCAACAAGGCGAAGTACCCCGTCTAGTATGCTGCCAGGGCGCCTTCGGCGACGACGGCTCCATGCCCGTATACCGGCACCCATCCGACCAAACCCTGCCCCTGCTGCGCTTCTCCCCCAAAGTCCACGTCATAAGGAAGCGCGCGGAGAAGCTCGTCGGCCACCCATTAAACCACGTGCTTATCCAACTCTACCGCTCCGGCAACGACTTCATCTCCGAGCACTCGGACAAGACGCTCGACATCGCAAAAGGCTCCTCCATCGTCAACGTAAGCTTCGGTCCGCAACGCACCATGCGGCTCCGCACCAAGAAAGCCGAATCACAAGCAAAACCAGAAGAAGAAGAAGACCCCTCACCCGCGTCCTCACCACGCTCAACCCAGCGCGTCCACCTCCCCCATAACTCCATGTTCACCCTCGGCCTCGCCTCAAACGCAAAATGGCTCCACGGCATCCAGCCCGACAAGCGCCTGCCCGCCGAACGCAGCGAAACGGAAAACGCATATGGAGGCATACGCATCAGTCTGACGTTCCGCCACATAGCCACGTACCTCGATTGCCGCAGCACCATCATCTGGGGCCAAGGCGCGACGTCGAAAACGCAACGCGACGCCGCTGATATCGTTGCGAATGACGAGGCGGAGACGAAACGCCTCATCACTGCGTTCAGCCGCGAGAACCACAACGTCGAGTTTGAGTGGGAGAAGTGGGATGGTGAGGGGTTTGATGTTTTGCACCTCCATGAGCCGCCGGGTGACGATACACCGCTGCTTTTCCTGTCGAATGACAGTGTGCAAAATGATCAGGTGCTTATCTGTCTAGCGGAAGCGAAAGTGCCTTACACGGTTGTTGAAGCACCAAACCTTGACCCGTCGTTTGAACAAAACCGCCAAATCACCTTCCGGGATGTCGACGTCCAGCATTCGGAGATTCACACGCCGATGGGTATATTACTGTACCTAGACCGATATCACCCCCTCGATAAAAGCCATTCTGCGAATTTGGCGAGCGCGAATGCGTTTCCGGTTATACTATTAGCATCAGAGATTTTGCGGGTTTGGCGGAATCAGCAGAACGCAAGGAGAAGTGGAGGAACCGAGGGGAGTGGAGAAATACGGGGGGATACTACTCCTACTTCTACTCCTACTACTCCTACTCCTACTACCACCACCACCAACTTCGCCTTACAGAACCTCCTAGCGCGTCTAGAAGAAACTGTAGAGAGGAACGGAGGACCGTTTGTAGCGGGGAGTAGGTTTAGTATTGCGGATGCGTTTGTTTGGCCGGTTGTACATGGGTTGGTTGGGGAGTGGGAGGGCTGGGAGGAGGCACGATTTGCCAAGTTGGATGAGTGGTATCGCGGGTGTTGGAAGAGGAAGGCGTGTGTTAAGAAGGTGGCGGAGAGGTTGGCTGTGTCGGGGAAGGGGAAGGTTGTCGCAGAGGGGGTGTAGGGGATGGGATGAGTTGAATATGTAGTACGATTGCATGGTAGGTGTTGGAGATGAGTATTTATATTCCTATTAACTACTTCGGTTGGGGTTGTACACCACTCCTTCAGCTACCAAAACCATCCTTCTTGCTCAAATCCAAGCCATCAAGATAGTTAACTCGTCGGAAAAAGGTCATGCAAGTCTATGTCAAGGGAAGCGAGAAGATCGCGCAACGGGAAGCCATCCGATACAGCTATACTACCACTAACCCCCCAATAGTTCGCGTTTCGTACAACTTCCTCATCACCTACCACCTCGTGCCGAACATCGTCACACAGCATGTGCCCACGCCTCATCACACACCACCGCCGCACACCTCTTCCACTCACACAGCTGTTCGTCTGCCAGCTGCAGGTGCCGCCATCACAGCACCCTTCCTCACCCTCTCCTTCTGATGCGCCTCCCTTCGCAACTGCTCAATCTTGGCATGTAGCTCTGGTACGCCAACATCTTCCACATGTTTGCCGTGAACCTTACGGTTCGCGTTCTTACCGTGGCTTGCACTGTTGTTTACAGCGTGATCATTGGTGGCGTGCTTAGAAGCTGCAAGACCGGAATGCTTAGTCGGAGTCGGGGTCGTGGAAGTTGTGGCGGCGCGTCTGCTATCGCCGCGAGGAGCGGGTTTGCGTCGCTGTTGGGCTGGTCGATGGGGTTTGGGGTATGGCTTGGTGGGAGCGGGGGTGTCATCTTCGGTATCAGAGGCCCATGAGAGCTGGGAGTGGCGCCGGGTGATCGAGTCCTCGTTTTGCTTCTTGGTGACGACGGGTTTGTGTGGCGTCTTGTTCTCGATCGGTGACAAGTTACTACACCCGATGCTGGGAGTTGATGGTGGCGAGGCAGAAGGGCGACTGGACGGGATCTGCATCTCACTGAACCCAGAACTGGCTTCCGAAGCGCGAGATGACTCGGGGCTGGGTGGAGGAGCAGGATTATCGTCGAGATCGATGAGGAGGTCTGATACCTGGCTAGCACGACGGATTGGTTCCTGAACTGGCAATGGCGGAGGGGTCAGTCGTCCAGATGTAGTCTGCCCAGGAGACTCGTTCCTCTTGAAGATACCACGCGGCTGCTGCACCTCATCCCCCAGCAGATCACGCTCTTCACTCCTCCTCGTCCGAAACGTCGAAGGGTCAGGAAACACTCTCGCTTCCTCTATCACCCCACCCTGATCTGCATCCTCGTTCGCCGCTAGCCTTCGCTGCATCCAAGTAGGCGGCCTGGGCCCGATAGCAGACTTCTCTCTCCACCACTTCGGTATGCCTCGAACGAAGCCCAGTTCACGCAGCTTCTCGATACAGGGCATCTCGTGCTTGAACTTGCATCCGATGGCTGTCCAGTCGCATTCGCCGGTCTTGATCCAGTGTGTGCAGTATTCTTTCTTGGATGGGTCAGGCTCGATGCCAGAGGGGTGGGGCACGCGGTAGCCGAGGCGCTGTGCATCTTTTTGGTAGATGGAGGCGAAGGTGTCGGTGAGTAAGGATGGGCGTGAGATAGTAGCGGTAGGGGTTGGACGAGGTGGCTCTGCCGTATTTACGATCGCTGGGAGGGTATGAGAAAGTCGAGGGGTACGAGTATCGCTCACGGGCAATGTTTGCGGCTCTGCACGTACATGATGGTCTGGTGCCAGGTATCGTGACTGCGTCGTCGTAATGGAGCGAGGCGAGAAGCTGCTGGATGTGGGCGCTTGGATCAGGAGAGCCGAAGGGATCTCGTTTGTCTCTGAGCAAAGCTTCCAAGCTCCATCTGAGATCTGGCGATGGGTCAACTGGCGTGGGATTCCTTGTAGTTGGAACGGCAGCTGGTCTACTGGTACCAGCGGGACCATCACACTGCCGCGAAGAAGATAGTAGCGAAGACCTTCAGGAAGGGCGCAAGTGCTATAAGCTTGGGTGGCCATATCGACAATGTCCAAACAGCAAGAAAATGTCTGGATACAGAATGCGGTGATAGACTCCCTTGGTGCAGTGATTATACAAAGAGAGATGATTGAGATACGGCTTGGAAGGAAATACGAGGTGCTGAGATCCGAACGGCTGTGTTCCATTATATTCACGGGTGTGCGACTGTGCTCAAGACAGCAATTCGATGTCTCTACCCGACGCAAGCAGTTTGCCGGCATCTGCAACCTTGCTTACCTGTCCGGCAAGCCATTGCTACGAATCAGGATGTCTAGCAATGACCGGGAGGATGAACGGATTGCATTTGAGTTGAGGATTGTCTGCGGATCAAGCAGGGAGGAGACATGAGCCCCCCAGTTAGGATGTGAGTAACGCGTCCTGGAAGTTTGTGATACCGTGATCTGTCGCAACCCGTGCTGCGTATACGCGACAAGCTCCGCCAGAGCGTTGGCAAGCTGTGAGGAGAGAGGGTGAACAATCGCAGTGTCAATGATAGGGGTCTGTCCTCTTGGCTTGAACAGCACGCAATCGGCCCTAAGACATGGCGTAACGGCTGGCGGAATGGGGAACTGCGATGTCCACGCTTGCGATGCCGAACCACTCGCTCTTCGCTCCTCAAAACGTCGAAGTCGCGTTGCCAATGTGAAGATCACGATGACAATGACGAGTAGATTACAAAATTGAAAGGCCTTGAAGATGGCGTACCGACACTGCCATGTGGCCAGGCCAGGTTAACCCTTTCGCTCAACGGGTATCCCTGTGCCGATCTACCGCGGCACGGCAATCGCCGTCCTGCCCAGACGCGCCTAACCACGACTCCAAAACATTAGACTGCTTCAACCCGCGTTGGGCCATCACGGCTTTCGGATTCGGATCTGTGGCTTGGCCGTGGCAGCGTATGCCGTGTATCATGTTTTTCCCAGCCTGGAAGCCGCCGCTAGGAGTCTCCCTCCGCATCTCAACGGTTGGCCCTGCGGTCGGTACCGATGATGTCTGCACAAAGTCAATCTGCAGATCTACCACGTAGTCTTCCGGCAGTTCACGTCTCGACCGAACATGTCAAAAGTTACTTGCATGATATTAACCGTGTGGCTTGTCCTGAGGAGATGCCTCCGTGTTGGGGTTGGCAGCTGAGGTATGCAGCCTAAGAGGCCGCCATCGAAGTTACCGCTCTTTCGCAACGAATAGACCGTCCGGCACATCGTTCATGACTCGGTTAAGAACGCGATCTTCAATAGTGGGTCGTTGGCTTCCACTGGTCTTGCGCGGCAGGGCTTCTGGCCCAGTTTCGGAGACTACGCGCCTGGGCACGACTACCAACGGTCCCTATGCTCCAGGGTCTGCTAATATTGGAGCCTTCCTCGGCATCTTGTTGTTTGTCGATGAAAGTTTTCCATCGCGTAGGATACGGCCAGCAATTATTCGGATGAACGACTGTAGGTAGCTATGAGAGATCGCATCGGTTTAACGGAAAATCAACGAAGCTTCAATCGCCGGAAAGCATCTCCGACATGAGCAAAGACGACCGCAGTCCCGAAGTGTTCGCCGTGGCTGCACTGTTCTTTGTGCTCACATGGACGACTGTTCTCCTACGGATCTACGTACGCGCAGTACTGATGAAGACATGGGGAAAAGATGACTCGTACATGGTTGCGGCACTAGTAAGTTGTCACGTCTCGTGTTCAATCGGAGATTATGCTGATCAAGCTTGTAGTTGACGTTCACCGTGTATCTCCCATGTCAGATCATTGCCGCGATGCACGGAACTGGTCGCCATCGATGGGAGTTGAGCGATAGCGATGCGAAGACAGCACTCTTGGTCAGTTTAACACTCTCATCACATCATCTGACATCTGACTCGATACAGTTCTGGTACCTGTGCGAGCTGTTCTACGTGATAGCGAACTGTCTGCTCAAGTTTGCCATCGGCTACTTCTACCTGCGGGTCGCGATTGAGCGCTGGCATATTTGGGCCATCAGAATACTCATGCTAGGCACTGTTCTATGCGGTCTTGTCTACTTCTTTCTAGTCTTGCTTCAATGCATTCCCAGTAAGCATCAATCAAGCGCTCGTTGTCAAATTCGCTAACAGATCCAGTTTCGGACTTTTGGAACGTGCATCCCGCCTCAGACAGATGCATACACAACGGGCCAACTTTGGGGATTACTTATGCCCTCGCCGCCATCAACGCAATGGCTGATTGGGCATTCGGGTTGCTTCCTTTCTTCATTGTATGGGGCTTGGAGATGAGGACCAAGACAAAGCTACTTGTTGCGGGTATCCTTGCATTCGCAGCAATTGGAAGCACCGGTACAGCCATCCGTATGGCGTACATTCACACACTCGTTCAAGGCCCCGACTTCTTATATGCTACCACTGACGTCGCCTTGTGGAGCACTATTGAACCTGGAATCGGCATTACCGCAGGAAGCATCGCGACACTTCGTCCGCTCGTCCGCCACTGTCTATGGAAGATGGGTCTAGCCGACGCACCTCGTGAAGAACGCGGCCGCGACTACTATCCTTCAGAACAAGGTGGTCGTCTACGAAAAAATCGTCGCGGATATCGCCGTAGCCTGAGCCCTTCCGATCTAGTCCCTACAATTCCTGGTACCATGACCACCATACAAATTCATGGACCTCACGACATAGATTTGGAAGAGAACCTGTCCCCGCCGAAAATTGTCGTCACAGACGATGATGTCCCGGAAACTCCAGAGGGTCAGATTATACACACTGTCACGGTTCAGCAACAATATGAAGGCCCTGCAAAGCTTCCTGAGGCGCCTCCGAGACTTCAACTGCGCGATAGCTTGAGACATAGTTTCACTCGCGGGAGTATTCTGAGCCCTGTATTCCGAGTGCCCGAGTGAACTCTCGCAATGAGTACCGTATGCCTCACCGCCATCTCAATTATCTCAGTTGAGCAAACGGGCTACATTCTCAATTCAAGAGGTCAAAGATACCCGGCGAGGCGCAGGGTCATGAAAGCTATGTGTCATCGACTCACCATGTTGCGGCGCTCTGACGGACACGCGTTCCAACGTCACTAAATCAGTCGTCAGAAGGATCAAAGCGTGGGAGCATTTTGGAGCGTGGCGTCACCTGCGTGAAACACATTCACCAACGCTGGCTGTCATTCACGTCACCCACAACCCTATCTCCACCCGCCACTCCTGGGCTCTCAGTCTCACTCACGGTACCATCAGAGTCTCAACATTGCCTGTCCAGCTGTAGTCCAGTACTTTGCTAGCAGCAGCGTATCCAAACCAGGTAGCCATACTGTAATCAGTATGGCTGAGACTCCCGCACCACCAATGGACTCCCCCGGCCGGTCTCGCAACCACATTCCAGCAACCAATGGCGAGCTACCCGCCTTACCACCCAACAAAGAAATCCTTACCTCTGCCATCCGCATGACAAACATCACCCGCTTCATCCACCTCCTCTCCCACGCCAAAGCCCTAATCACCCACCACGGCCCCTACACCACCCTCCCCGCCACATCAGTCTTCACCCGCTCTCTCAAGCCACGCAGACCCGCTTATCCCTCCTCCCCATCCCTCAAATCCCTCGCCCTCTCCCTAGCCGCAGCCCAAGACAGCACCTACAGCGCGCAGCCTCCCAGCCGCACAAAATCCGACCTCGACTTCTTCACCCTCCTCTGGGACAGTTCCATCGTCGTCCTCGAAGAGATCCTATCAATAGGCGATCTACCACAAGAGTCCTTCGGCTGGGGCATCTTCGGTCTGGCAGCGGGGTATATGCATCCTCCCTCCCCTCCCCATGATCTGAGTCAGCAGAACATTTTCATGCGGAACAAAGCAAGGTTGCACGCTGCGCTTTGCATGATGCCGAGTTTGGAGGGGCCAACCGGAAATGGGTATAGGATGAGTGGGCGGACGACGACGGAGGCGTTGACGAGGGCGAGGAGGGATATACATGTTCTAGGCCATATTCTGTTGGATGAGTTTAGGAAAGGGGGGTGGAAGAGGGTGAGGTGGGGGAATGCGGTTGCGGTTGCGGAGAGGTGGGTTGGCGCGTTTGGGTTGGGGGGTAGCGTGTTTGAAGAGTTTGGGAGGGTGGTGGGGGTTGGGGAGGATGGAGAGAGGGGAGAGGGGAAGAAGGGGAATGGGAAACGGGTTACTTTTGAGTTGACTTGATGGCTTGAATGAGGAGAAGACGGATGATTTTGATATATCCGAAGTAGTCTATGAGAATAGGATGTACTCATCTACAATCTCTATCATACAGACACCGCGATTATTACTGGAATAGTGCAATTTGAATCGTCCTTTCACTGCTAGTCGGTCCCTCAACGTGGTCAGACCTTGGAAGGCACCGAAAATCCTCCAGGCACCGGATCTTCGCCCGTGCAGTGGTCTCAAAGCGCATTGACGCGCCCCTTCCACGCCTCCTACCTCTACATAATGCCCGTCACACTTCTAGAATCACTCAACGCTTGTTGCACCTTGTTTGAGACCGCTCAACCACAATCTTGGAGCAAACAAACCGCGTGCAGAGCCACTATGACAGAGCACGCGCTCTCCTCAACTACCGACACCTGCGCCCATCGCAAGTTGAAAATGAATGCTACCGCAGTGAAGATGCCAGCTCCCGTAGTTCAAGACGCTATGTTCTTCATACTGCTGAATCGTGACGTACGCATGAGCATCTACGACTTCCTTTATGGATGGCTTCCTCCATTACGATACAAGAATCCCCGGACGCTTGGAATTGGGCCTGGTATGTTGCTGGCTTGTAAGCAGGCAAATTTGGTATGTTATTGTCGTCACCGTAGAGGTTTGAACACAGCCTACCCTCTATGATTCTACATGACTTTGGAGTTATGCCAAATTTAGCTCTCATGCTAGTATAGATGGCGATGTATCTGTTCGGACTTTCCCTCGAATGAGGTGCCATCAAAGCACTGTATGCGGTGAGCTAGGCTGACATGTCGCAGGAGCTTTCGGAAGCAGCGGCTCGCCATCTGAAGAAGCATCTCGATAGATTCTCCCAGAGGTTCGAGAAAGAGCATGGGCATGCGATCAAGTTGTTCGGCAGCATACCGCTTCATCAGGGCTGGGAGGCGGTGCGAACCATCACACTCACACTGGATATCGACTATTTCACTGAGGCTCTCGCAGAGATTGCGATGATACCCGAAGCTGAGAAGGATAACTGGCGTCGTGAAGAAGTTTTGGAGAAGCTCGAGCTGCACGTCGATACAGAGAGGAACGGCAAGATCCCACAGTGGCGCGCACTCCTGCTTCATCCATTCGACAAAGTCACACTACTAATTACCGACGCATCCCGGGACAAAGACAGTGATAAGACCGTTCAGCTTGAAAAGTACAGCCACGTTGTCGACATATTGCGAGACAGCCTCACAGACATGGGCGACCAAATCGCCTACGACTGGCTCATGTTTCAAGACGCGCTAGACTGGGATGCCATATGTGAACAAGAAGACGAATATCTACCAGCCCCTGAGCGCGAATGGTACAAGACCGCAGAGCTTTTCCGCTTCGCGCGCGTGCAGTACAAGCGGCTTAGCGATGGGGACTGGAGAGAGGAAGTCGAGCAAGCAGGTCTGCTGGGAAACAAGACCCGCCGCCGTATCCAGACCAAACAAATAAACTTCGCTTGGAATTTCCTTCCTAGGACCACGCCCGCGCCTACGAAACTTGTCGGTAAGATGCACACGTACACGGCTGAACATGCGGAGGAAATGCGTAAGACAGATCAGCTCCGCGAGCTCAAGTACGAAAATCAGTGGCCGCACAAGTACGAAGTGGCTGCTGCGGAAGGGCTGATCGGTGAGATGGGTATCCGCCATCCCAAGCGCTGGTTTTTGGCGAGTGAGGAGTATTGCGAATATTTTCAACTGATGGAGCAGTTGAAAGAGGCAGAGGTTGTGGAGAGCAAGGGGATCGGAATGTCGTTATGGAAGGCGAAATCAAAGGCTAAGAAAGTGGGGGCAGAGGAAGGAGTTGAGGGAACTGCTGAGGTAGAGGCTGAGGAGGAGATTGATGAATATCTACAGGAGGAGGTTAAAGAAGACGTTGTGGACTATATTGAGGAAGAGATGGAGGAAGAAGAAGATGATGATGATGACGAAGACGACGATGAAGATGATGACGAAAACGATGATGAAGGTACAGACGAAGATAGCGAGGGCGAGGATGACGAAGGAGATGAAGATCAAGTTGATATTGAGGACGAGTCTGGGCCTGGCTTTCAGCCTGTGGTTTACGATCGGAGACAAACTAGGATTCCCGATTTCTGGAAGAAGGTATAGCGTACAAGGGCCTGAGGATACGATGGTGGTGGTGGAACGCTTGCTACAGTCTTCAAAGGTTTCCACAAAACAGAGTCCGCATGATTGGCCAGCAGGCTGTATACCAGATAAACAGGTTTTCCAATTGAACGAGTGTGCATCTAACAACCTCCCCTCCTTAAATCTCTATTCCCCCTTCTTCCCCCTAGTTCGAAAGTATCTCTTCACCCACTCTAGCTGCGGTAGTTAACAGTGACATGGCACTTATCGCAGTTACCAGTTCCATAGCTTCCATGCGACTTTCCGCAGTGAGCCAAGATATACTCAGCCTTGTCCTTGATAACTTGACCCCTCACTGCCTGCTGACCAGAGCCGTTGGTGGCGTACTTGATGAAGCAGCTGCCCTGCGAGAACTCCTGCTGGTCGTTGTAGTAGGCGTTCACGTCGATTCTGGCGATGCCGACGTAGCATTCGCTTAGGTTGGGGGAGCGGCTGGAGCCGTCGCAGCTAGGGAGAGTGTTGGTATGGGTGAGGAAGATGGGGGGAGGAGGGGTTGATGTGAGGGGGAGTAGGGAATGGAAAGTGGCTTACTTGTCGGAGTAGGCGAGAGCAGTGCTGCTGAGAGCGAAAAGGGCGAGTGCGATTTTGGCGAACATGGTTGCGGAGTGGTTTTGAGTGTTTGTGTTGGTAATGGATGGAAAGTCGATGTGCTTGATGCCTCTAAATCGCTGTGCGGACGCAGTATTTATAGACAAAATGTGTGCGTCCAGAAAGATACGCACACGCCGCACCCTAGCTGACTATACCACTCTGTCCTTACTATTTTGGAAGTCAGGATACCGGTCAAGGTGCGTCGATGCTGATGTGCATGATGGCCTGAGGCATGCGTGTTTGGGATGAGGCCCCCCATACCTATGCTCGATGCACACGCTTCGGCTACAACTCCGATCTGGAGATCATGTTCCTAAAATGTCGATTAAGAGCCCCTAGGATCTAATTCCTCTCTTGGTGTGAAAAGGAACCAGCTTGTGAACCCTCACAAATCACGGGACTTCGCAGCGGACCTCGGGACGTTTTGATAGAAGCAGTCTGCCTTGCGAACCTGAACCGATATGCAGTAAATTCAGCTCTGCGTCTTGGAGTGCACGTGAGATTCCGTAGCACATTGCCAACGAGAGATGCAATCGGAACCTCCTCCGCTATTAGACGAAAGCGTAGAGACGTGTCGAGAGATCCGCCCACTTCGGGTAATCCGGGAAGCGCCGATCAGGAACGAACGCCTGATCCGGTCGATCGCATCACCTAGCAGCACGAAGGCGCATTAGTTCTGGTATCCTGGAGTTACAGTATGGTAATATGATGCAAGTAAGCAGGAAGCACATCGCCTCTCGTTGGCCAAGCTGGTAGTGGAAGGTGGTGAAGGTTTGCGGGCCGTAGTGTACATGCAGTACAGCCTTACGGACGTACGGCCCCGGCATTAGCTTGATGTATGTGTGCATTAGTATCCGTCCAAAACACGATAAGCTTCCGAAGGGTCCAAAAGCTTGTGGCGCTGATGGGCCAAGCAGGCTGACGGGGAAAAGTTGCTTTTACAGCAAGTTCATCGAAGAAGAGCATGGGACCGACTCGGACTGCGGCCCCGTTACCATCTATGCTGCTCATTGAAGCTTTGCGTCACATTGACGGTCGTACCGGTATCCAGACAGAGCCATCATAAGCCTTTCAAACAAGCTACGGAGAAGCATTGCCCAGGAACGGCTAAACGAGTAAACGAGGGGCGCGAGGTGATGTACACCAAGGCTATCGTGTAAAAGGCGGGGAACCAGGCGCTAAGCCATCTGAGTGGATCGTGAGGCACGCTTTAGTACTGAATAGTTAGGTGTTTGTGACGAAGAGGCCGCAATGGGCTGTCATCCCGTAACTAGCTGACAGGCTGCGGCAGCGCGGCGCCATACTGGCGTTGTAGACTATAAACCATTTCTAGAATGAGCTAGCATAAACGCAAAGTATGTGGGCATACCGTACGATTAGTGATGGAGAAGCCGCCCGTACCGAAGCCCCGATGCGCTCGTACCTAGCCATGAGACATGCCTTCCTCCGTGTGATCTCAATTGGATTGGAAGTCCACCGGTATCTCGTTTCATTCGCCTCTTCGTGCAGATCGGGCTACACGGTACGCCTATCCTTTCTCTCGGGTACCAGACAGTACACATTCCAAGCCAGAAACGGACAGACGTAGTCATGGTGACATCGACTTCGGAGGAGCGCCGCATATACAGTAGAAAGCCTTGTCCAGAAACGGCCGCATAAGACTGCGATCGTCCAGCCCAGTTGCAAAAATTAGCAACGCATTCGTCCTAATGCAATGCAGTGAGGCAAAATACAGCTGTACGACGTAAGCAGCCCGTACGTGCAGTGCCCCCGTTGGCCAAACCCACCGCCGTGAATGGTGAAGATTCCGGAGCCGCATCACAGGCTTACATTTGGAACCCTGGGCAAAAAGAGCAAAAACATACAACAGCGGGGATTCGCTAGTGGTCACCCACCTAACTACTAATCCGCCGGTATCTTGCTTAAGTACCGCTGAGCGAACGGGAAGCGCTGAGTTCAAGATCCTATGGTCGTATGTGCAAGATCGTGGTGTTGAAACGATCTTGATCTCGGTGCATGGTCGTTAGTAAGAAGGAAACCACAGCCTTGTTCGGGTCAGCTCGATACATGATACAGGAGCGCCACTCAGCCTGATGCGGCTCTTGAAGTTGCTTCTGCATGGGGCGGACCCATTATGCCTTGCCACACCGACATTGTAGGAGTGTTACTATAAGACATTTGGACAAGCCTTGACCAGATGCGGCTGCATGAGGGCATGAGGCTGCCAATGCC